CCGAGGCCGAGCTTGCAGCTAAAGAAGAGATTTTAAACAATTACCAAAGCAGGGCAGTGATATCATAAAGGCAATTTCTGCGCTAGCTTGTTTTCTGCAACTCTCCCTGCCTCTGAACAGCTAGAACAGATAATAACTATTAGTAAATCAAACTCCTGCAATATCCAGCTGTGCCTCCCCCATTTACATACAGATAGAATGGGTATATGTTTTTAATATGTATGCCAGGCGTAGTTTTACCACAGCTGAAGTGCACGCTACAAAGGAGGAGGAGAATGGGAATGGAATCAGCATGAGATAATAAAGTGGCCTAGATAAAGTATTAGCCAGCGATTGATCTCAAACAGGGGATGCTGCTTCTCTCTGACCTGATTACTTACTATGCATAGATTCCATTAAATAGAGCTTAGGATGGAAAGCTTTGGGAAAATACCATAAATACAGGCACAGCCCCAGCCTGGCTGCTTCCCTGGACTCTGGGCATGAACAGAGCTTAAACCTCCCTGGCTTTAAACAGGGGTTAAACCTTCCCTGGGTTTATACCAGAATCTAAACCTTCCCTGGGCTTAAATCAGAATCTAAACCTTCCCTGGCTTTAAACAGGGGTTAAACCTTCCCTGGGTTTAAACCAGAATCTAAACCTTCCCTGGGTTTAAATCAGAATCTAAACCTTCCCTGGGTTTAAATCAGAATCTAAACCTTCCCTGGCTTTAAACAGGAGTTAAACCTTCCCTGGGTTTAAATCAGAATCTAAACCTTCCCTGGCTTTAAACCAGAATCTAAACCTTCCCTGGCTTTAAACAGGGGTTAAACCTTCCCTGGGTTTAAACCAGAATCTAAACCTTCCCTGGGTTTAAATCAGAATCTAAACCTTCCCTGGGTTTAAACCAGAATCTAAACCTTCCCTGGGTTTAAACAGGGGTTAAACCTTCCCTGGGTTTAAACCAGAATCTAAACCTTCCCTGAAGTTAAACCTTCCCTGGCTTTAAATCAGAATCTAAACCTTCCCTGGGTTTAAAAAGGTGTTAAACCTTCCCTGGGTTTAAATCAGAATCTAAACCTTCCCTGGAGTTAAACCTTCCTGGTTTAAACAGGTCTTTAAAACTTCACTGGGTTTAAACAGGAGTTAAAAATTTAAATTACTGATGTTTCTTATGTTGATACTTTATTTAAATTCTTATCAATTTTAAAACATATTTTTAATCAATTTAAAATATTACGTTTTAGAAATTTAAATTATTAAAATAATAAATATTAAATGTATCAATTTAAACATTGTGTGATAAATTGCACATCATCTGTGTCAAAGCCACTGACATGCTGCAAAACCTTTTCTCCTTTGGTATTTTATTTATTTAAATGCCTAATACAAATTTGAAATTTCCCATTCCTATGCATCCAGCAATCCCCCTCCCCATTCCAGGAATGGCTCTGAACCAGGCACCCAGATTTTACTGGCTGTAATGGATATTTTTTCCTCAGATAAAACAGTTAGTTTGTATATTTAAATATCTTAAGACACGTGTCAAGATATTAGAGACTCAAAAATGCATTCTGGCTGCCTGTTTGCACATCTCCAACAAGTACAACAAGGGAATTAAAAACAGGAACAGGAGTTCAAACCTTCCCTGGGCTGCCACAGCACAACTCCTGAATAAACACTGCCCTGAGAGCCAGAAAAACTCTGTGTTTCTGGCAAAAAACACAACTGCAAAGGGGAAAAATCTCTTTATACAGAAGAATTGTTGAGATTTTCATGTTAGAAAGGGAGGGGACAGACAGAGAGGAATGTGCTGTGCAGTCTTCCCTGTGATAATATAGGAATATATTCAATTTAATTGGCTCTCTGCCTTTCTCTTAAGAGAGAACAAACTGGAGATAAAGGAGCAGCATTTTAGAGTAAGTTCAGAATGACCACTGGTAATTCTGAGGTTGTTCCTTTCCCTGAATGGACAATTTTTTCCTCATTGCTTGGTGAAATTCCTTATTTCACTGCTGTGGAACAAGTCAGTGGATTTGATTACGCACACCCAGAGAAACCAATGGGATATCTTGTTTTGGGCATGGCTGCATGGAAGAAAGGGCAGTGAGTAAATAAATAATAAAATAAATAAATACAGGAGCCTGATCCACCTGCACATGGACACCTGTGGTAATGAGAAACCTGACTTTGAACAGGAATTTCCTCCAGCCTCGGCTTTGGCCCTGTTTCCTGACAAAATGGACATTTTGGGTTTTATAAAAAGAAGCTTTTTGCATGACAGGCAGAGGAAATCCATCCCAGGACTCTGGTGCAGGTGCCAACCTGGCACTCCAGGTATTGGCACTCAGCTCCTCAAATCCACCTAAAACCCACTGATTTTCAGCAGAGGAGGAAAAGATTCATCTTCTGCTCCCTTCAACTTGTTTTCAGTCCTTAATTATCCTAAACTGGGCACAAACTAGTGACTTCCAGCACAGCTGTGTCTGCAGGGGAGGAGGAGATGCTCTGGTTTGTCTGCAGGTGAGGATGGCAGTGTGTGACACCTCCCATCATTGCTGGAACACTGCTTTTAATTAAAATAAACCAACCCAAAATGCAGTGAACAAGGTGAATCCCTGCTCTGGTTTAAATCAGTGAGAAGGTGACCTTGAAGATCCAGGGTTTCGCTGCATCCCTCTGTGCATTCCTTCCATCCACCAGAGCCACGTGGCAATTTCAGCAAGATGGAATTAAAGGATGCACTGGTGAGAAATTCCAGAATTCACAAGGATTTTTGTGCCCAGGGAATGTGGCACTCAGTGCTCTGCTCAAGGTGGGGCTCAAATGGACTCCATGACCTTGGAGGGCTTTTCCAACCTCATTAATTCCACGATATTTAAAGTTTTGGTTTCTTTCTGGCCCTGTTTTCCAGCAATTAGAAATTAATTTTTTCACACATATTTAGGCACAGATATGCTGTGTGTATATCTGTGTACACAGACACATAATGTTAATGCATATATTCATATTAATTTTATAAATAAAGTGCTCCTTGAGAAGACTGGGGAAAAGCAAAAATATAAAGGGTTAGACTCTATAAGTATATAATATATAAAAATAAGTACATAAACATTATATAAAGATTAAGTATAGACAAATATATTATTAATAATATAATACAATTAGATAACATATACTTATTAATTATAAATATATATTTATATATAATGTGAAATAAAAATATAAATATATACTATATATAATATTACATATATCCTCTATAAAATAAAGGAGTGAGCAGCTCCTGTTCTACTACTCGTTGTTGCAAGCTCACTTCTAACTGACTAAAAAGGAGGTGGAAAAAAAATGCATTAAATTGTTTAAAAAGTAGGAACGCTTCTTTTTTATTTATTTATTTTTTTTTTTACCCAGAGGCGCCGGAATTTCCAAATAATTTCACAAAACACCTCCTTGAAAGGGGCCCAGCACACTCCAGGGCATGTAGTTGTAAAGATAAATCTGTGCACTTCCCTGCTACTGCAGGCACTCACCCTTTGGCCTCATTTTTATGGCTCTACACCCTGGAGTGGTGTTATTGCTCACAACCATCCCCACGCACACTTCTGGGGGGCGCTGGGATCTGCAGATGTTTTATTTATAAGTGGCAGGCCTATTGCATCACCAAAATGTGCATTTGCAAGCAGAGAGAGAGGTTTTCTGAAAGCCCATTCCATTGTTTTAATAGCTGAGGCACCCAGCCATGGCAGAACAGTGCACGAGGTAAATGTGGCTGCAGCTCCAGAACCTGCTCCAAGTTTTCTCAGATGTGACTAACTGCAAGAATTTCCCAGCCATCAAAAGTTCATAAAAAAGACAAAAATCAGCCTTTGGTGGGAGAAAACCCCAAGTGGAGGGGCTCTGATAAACTTTAAGGTTTCATTTCAGCGAGGTGTTTAAGCAGGTGCCCAACTCCAAGTGCAGATTTGGTGGAGTAAATATCCCTAAAATGAGATTCACAGTTAAATACTTTCCTAAGCAGGAAAGAGACTGGTCTGGATTGTGAGATACCTGCCCCTGGGCATCTTCACAGATTAGCCTTTAACTAGAGAATTGCTGCAGTAGAAAAACTTGTTTATTCTCACAGAAGCCATGAGAATATTCTCTTTCTTGGAAACAAGAAATGAGAGGATGCACCAGTGTCTTGATCCTGTTAAAATCCTTTACAATTATTCCTGTATTCCAATTATCTCAGTCTATTCCATGCCCATATGTATATTCATTTCAAATAAACATGTATATTAAAATGTATATTTAATTTCAAATAAATAATGATGATTCTAGAGAATCTTTCAAGTTACAGCAAGCAGAGTATAAAGGAAAGTAAGGAAATTTAAAAATTAAAGGTGTTTGACATGAGCCAGAGGGGGACTGGGAGTCTACATAAATTGCTGTAAATAGCAATAATTAATAATTGAAAAATGACAATTGTACAAGAAGTGGGCTCTGAGCTCAGATTCCAATCCTGAGAGCCCTTCCATGGACACACCTCACCAAATATTCTCATTCTCCTGCAGCCAATCTGCTCTCATTTTACATGACCATCACTGAAAACAGTGGCTCTTGCATTTCATTAAAATACATATTTGAACCCCACTCTCTGTTTCCAGTCTTCACTTTTGGGAAGGTTCAGGCTGGCAAATGCTGACAAGGAGTGACCTACATTAAGCTGTAATCCCTGGACATCCAGACTGGAAGAAAATGTGTATCAAGCATCAAAATGGTTTTGATTGAAACTCGATAGTGGCTGTGAAAGTTCTGAACTAACTCCCCAAATCACAAGTGAAGGTAAGAGCAAAACAACTTTAGAAGCACAATTCCACCTCTGGTTTGGGTGCAAATATGGAATTGCTGCACAAGCAGGAAGAGTTTAGAGAGAAATACACTCAGCACACTGAAAAACACAGGAAAAAAGAGAGAAATTTCCATGTAAATGACCAAAAAATATTCACTGACAAATCCAAACTGAGGTTTCACTCACCATTAAATCTTCTGGTGCCGGCCTTTCCTTTGGCTGCTTCTTCATGCTGTGTCATAAAACAAAATGTTTGTATCAAAACAACTGCTTGTTGATTTGAAATGTTGAAATGTTGAATTGTTTTATTTTAAATGCTGAAATATCAAATTGTATTTTATCTCTTTTATCACAGAGTAAAGAATTTCAGGCTATTTCTTAAATTTATCAGGTGCTGATGGGAGACAGGGCTCCCAACAGTAACCAAAATATTAATTGTGGGTTTTTCCTCCCCCCAGGCTTTCCTTAGGGGGTGTAGGGCTCCACACTGTTTAGAACCATGAAAAGTGTGTAAATACAGAGATCCCCAAAACCCAGGAGCTACAGAGAGCTGATTCTCGTTTTTCCAATTGCATTTTATCCCTTTTATCACAGAATGAAGAATTTCAGTGTATGGGACACAGGGCTCCTAACATTCCCCAAATATTAATGGATTTGTTTTGTCCCTCCCAGCCTTCCCTTATGGGATGTGGGGCTCCACACTGTTTGTAACCATGAAAGGTGTATAAATACAGAAACCCCTGAAAAACAGCAGGTACAGAGACCTGATTCCCATTTTTTTCAGCTGTATTTTATCTCTTACCACAGAGTGAAGAATTTCAGTGTATGGAACACAGATTCCTAACATAACCAAAATATTAATGGGATTTTCCTCCCTCCCAGCTCTCCCTGATGGGATGTAGGGCTCCACACTGTGTGGATTTCTGTATTTACACCCTGTGAAAGGCAGGGATTATGTATTTGTACATCTGATTTGTATTTGATATGTATTTTTAAACCCATTTGTGTAGATTTCTCTATTTACACACCATGTAAACACAGAAACCCCTAAAAACCAGCAGGTACGGAGAGCTGATTCCCATTTTTTCTGGGGATTATGACACAGCTCAACACAAAGAATCATCCAAACAGGTGGGAAATCCAACTCCACCTCCGAACACGCAATACCTTGGGGTTCCTACCTTCACTTTCCCCCATTTATTTCCATTACCCTGCAGGGTGATAGTTCATTACACAGCATTAACCTGCTTACAGGATCATGTTTCCCATGCAAACAGTCCTGCTTTTCCCTGCAACAGGTGCAATTAGCTCTGGAGGCCGTGCTTAGCTGCGTGAGGGAACACAATAACGCGGCACAGAGGTGACCACCAGGAGCTGCCTGTGGACTAATTGGATTCTATCCAAGCAGCCAGGCTTTATGGAGGGCCTGGCACAAAGTCTGGGATGCTGCTCACTTGACATCTCTCAGGGTTGTTCCAAATTGATTGCTTAAATAAGATATAGTTGCTCCTTATTTGGTTTTTTTTTTGTTTTTTTTTTTTTTTTTTTTTAAGCAGTAATTCCCCCCATGGCAAAGCACAGCTAATAAAGCACCGGGTATAAAATACCAAATGAGCTGTGCTGTAAATCGGAGATATTAAGGACACAATTTACCTTCCCCTACAAATAACTCCGAGCCCCTCAGATATTGAAGTCCCACGAGCTGTGTGAGGCAGCAGCTCTAATCTGACAGCCCAAAGTAGCCCTGTCCCCAGGGAGAGCCAGCCTATTAGCCACCATCACTCCTGCTGCAGGTTGACATCTGGGGGGATTTCAGCACAGGCTGTCCCTCCCTCTGCCTCATTCTGGCTTTTTGAGAGCAGCCTGTCATCGCTATTTTGGGAGGATAAAAGGAGCTGGAGCTCCACAGCCCGGCTTGTGCTGCAGAACCCTCCAAATACCCTCGGTCTTTGTAAGCTGAAACCACTGAAAACCGAGGCCTCTGTTACACAAACTTTAATTATTTAGTTACTTTAATTAACTGCTCATCAGCCTGCTTTTTGTGGCTGTATTTGTTACAGGCCGTGGCAGGCCTCAGAGATACTTTCTGCTCTGTGAGCTGTCCAGAATTCAGTTTTATGGGGTCACTTTTGCTGCAGCGGCCCTGGCGTGTGGCAGAAAACCCCAAAATGTGCAAAGCCCAACCTGTGTGGGGCTGGGGGCTTGGGAGAGGACAAGGACCCATCCCTGGAGCAGGACAAATCCCTGGGTAAAGACACATCCCTGGATTCCTGCTCCCGCTCTGGTGGCTCCCTCTGATCTCACCCAGCCCTGCAAGGGGGGATGTTTCTCCCTCCAACACTTCCTATTTTTACAAAATTCAAGCTTATTTCTCCTGCTGTGCATAAACAGCTCCCCTTTTAAAATTATTTTTGGATTTTGAGGCATGTGGGGCATTAAAAAGAGATTTTTCCCTTAGCTTTGCTTTAGGATCTCTTACCTGCCAGATTTGTATCCTCTACTCGCTCAAGAACCGTATTCTTTATTCTACAACCTCCTCTTCTCCCCAGTTCTCCTTTAATTTAAAAGGTTTCCAATGAACTATTCCGTTTTAAGGACAGCAAATATACCCAGTGGTGTGTTTTAAACCACGGCTCTCAGTAAAAATTACTTACTGAGAAACAGAATCCATGGGATGGACCCAAAAGGGACAGGTAGGAAACGCTCCAGGCACAAAATCCACTGAGATGAACCCAAAAGGGACAGGCAGGAAAGGCTCTGGGCATAAAATCTGCAGGGATGGACCAAAAAGACACAGGTAGGAAATGCTCTGGGAACAGAATCCATGAGATGGACCCAAAAGGGACAGGTAGGAAATGCTCTGGGCACAAAATCTACAGGCATGGACCCAAAAGGGACAGGTAGGAAATGCTCTGGGAACAGAATCCATGGGATGGACCCAAAAGGGACAGGTAGGAAATGCTCCAGGCACAGAATCCAAGGGACACCATGCCCTGGGGAACTGGCTGTGCCCAGCATGCCACCCCTGCTGTTTATTTTAACTAAAATGCCAGTGAGGAGCTTTTTCCAACCCATCCATCCCTCCCAGGGGCTGCCAGCTCAGCTCAGTCCATGCTGCAGGATCAGGATGGGCATCCAGCACTTCACACTCATTTGGGAGGTGATAATTTCTGCATTCACAAGAGATGACGGGCCCATAATGGAGAGAAAGCTCATTAGGAGAGGGGAGGAGAAGCTGATGAGCTGCTCTGGAGCCACCAGCGTCCCACTCTGGTTATTCCAAACTCTCTGGGCTCAACCAGGCGAGGGGAGAAGTTGTTCCAAGATCAGCATAAAAACCTGGACTGTGCAGCTCCTGTCCTGCAGCACAGCCATGGGACAAGGGGCTTTTGCCTAGGAAAATGTTACCTGGATGGAAGTAAAGGTTAAATCCTATTTTTCCCCCATTTTTTAGGGCATATTTTTCTGTTTAATTCAGGTATTTGATCTGCTGGCCATGGCCACACCTGGGCTGGTTTGCTCTGAGGAGGTGAGGAGGAGATTTGGTGTGGAAGGGTGGAGATAAACACACTCTGGATCTCAGGATGGAAAGGAGATGGAGCATCCCAAGGATTTTAGTGGACACAGATTTATCAGACATTTGCCTGAAAAACGCAAAGCCTTTTGGGAGGCTCAAGGAAACCAAGGTTGAATCTTGAGGATACCTTCCACTAGACCATGCTGCTCAAGCCCAGCATGTGCAGACAAAGCTTATTTGGTATCCTGAGGTTTCCCAGATGTTGTCTGACACTCCAAGAGATGGGAATAAAGGGAAATAAAGCAAAGCTACACATCTGTACCCAGCCTGAGTGATGGAATATGGTCACATTTGCTGCACCCCAGTGATCTGCCTGATTTCCCCACCCACAAAATGAATTCACACTATAGAGGGAAAGACAGCAGAAATCCAAGATTTTAAAGGAGTGAGGAACAGATCTTTTCAATTCTGACTGGGAGAAGGTTCTTTCCTTTTCCTGAACTGCCAAACCTTTTGACCAGTGTCATAAAGACCTTGATACTAGGGATGATGCCAAAACAGCAGTGAAGACACAAAGGGATCTAAGGACCCATGGAAAATTATTCCCAGGACTAGCTGCTTTCCTAAAATCCAAGGAATAATTCCACAGCTGGGATGTGCTGCAGGAGAAGACCCAAGCAGTATTTCCATGACTGGGATCTGCTGCAGAAGACAAGAGCAGCCTCTGATTTCTCCAAGCCAGCTGTGCACACCGAGCGAGGGAAGGGCAAGAGGAAAAAAGTTTGAGTGATGCCTTTGCCTTGTGAATAATGAACAGTTCAAGGAGGTCAACCCATTACAACTGCAACCGTTTAATTATTAATTATGCACAATCTATGAGCAAAAGGACAAGTTCAGAATGTTTAATGGGTGGTAACTCCGACTGGACCCTCTCTTGGCATTTTGTTATTAGCACTTGTCAGCAAGGTGCTCAGGCAGAAAGACAAAAGCACAGCGGCAGAAAATCCGAGCTGGAGGAGGAGGGAGGGCTTTAAACTTCAAACACTGCTCCTAATATTTAATTTATAGAGTGCCAGAGCTCTGGTATAAACCTTATTGACTTCCCTGGAGTCAGGGGAAGCCACATTATCCAAATGAAGACCTGAGAATGAGCGTGCTGAACAATCCCTCCCGAAATCTCTCTTTCAAAGGCAGCAATAACATCAGGATCTGGATCTTCCTTTTTTCCCCTCAGAGGTCTGAACAAAGGAAGAAAGAACATCCTAAGAGCATGTCCAGAAGCCAATCCTCTGGAACCTTTGCAGTATGAGCTTGAATTACAGATCCCAGCATTATCCTCACTCACTCCTCCAACTGATTATTTGGAACTTCTCCTGCTCTGTTTGCTCTCCCTAAGCAGAACAGTGGCACAGATGCTACTGAGGCTCAGGAAATAAACAATGCTCAACAAATCCACAAATAAACATGAATAAGGTACCTTCCTCCTTTTCCTGTCCAATTTTCAGGTTTACATGGATAACCTCAAGAAGAAAATTCAACAGATACAGTCTGGAGCTGCTTATTTTGTTTTGGAAACACTCTCAGGCCCGTGAAATTTGGGAGTCATTCCTGACTGGCAACAAACACCAAAAACCTTCAGGCTTTCCACACCTTCAGAGGTCTTACCCAACACACAATTCCTTGAGAGTGAAATATTTCTCAGAACATATTTAAATGCCTGAGATTTATCACATCCTTCCGCAGGAGAAATCCCACAAGCTCCCTAAGTGGAAAACCAGGAATCACAGCTTTCCCTAAGCATCCAAGGAACATTTCCACCACTGGGATCTGCTGCAGGAGGAGACAAGAGCAGCCTCTGATTTCTCCAAACCAGCTGTGCACAGTGAGTGAGGAAACAGGAGAAAAGTTGGAGTGATGCCATCAGGGTGGTGATGGAAAACTTGGGATCAAACCCACGTTCCTCATCCCTTGGGGCCAGCCCCACAGATGGAACGACGGACAACTGCCACCAGCACGTCCTGCAAGAACCTGCCACCAACAGAGGCTGCCCAAAACCGAGCAGGCTTCGTTCCTGCTGCTCTGGGAAGGGTTAAATGTTCCTGTTCAATCTTTCCCCTCAGCTCTGCTTGTGCAGAAGGAGCTGCCATGGTCCTGTGGCTCCACGGCCACAGGAGGGAAGTTACCAGAACCCAGCAAAGCAAACCCCAGCTCCTCCGTGCTCGGGGTCCCCCGGCGCTCCCTGCCTGTGGAACGAGCATCTCCTCTGGGCTCCTGTCCTGGCTCCTGCACGGATGCTGAAATGGCAGCATCTCATAAATAATGCCTGGGCTCTGCAAAGCCTTCCTGCCTTATCACTTCAGCCTCCAAAACCTCTAGAATTACAGAATTTTTAGGCTTCTCTCGTACTAAAGCTTTCAAAAAATGTATTTACTTTTCTACAGTAGTTGCATTTAATTTTGTGGCCATATAGTGATTTTTAATTTTTTTTTTTTTTTTTTTAGAAAGATAAGTTTTAGATGCACCATACATGCTGCCAGGTGCAATTACAGGTAATAAATGCACTGTAGTTCCCAGAAAATGGTGAGTTGGAGGGAACCATAAGGATCACCAAGTCCAACTCTTAAATGAATGGTCTTTGGCTACAATGAGAGTGAATGACATTATTGTACAAACTCAGATTTACTCTTACAAGGACACTTTTCTTCCACAAAAAAAAAAAAAAAAAAAATCTATACATATATAAACAAAATCCATTTCCCAAATTAGACTTACTCCTTCCAGACCAACTTTCTTCCACAACATTCCTAAAAAAACCTCACTCTCTATATAAAAAACAAAATCAAAGCCCGACTTTTGATTTACTCTTACAACTTTCTTCCACAGCATCCCTAAAACAATATCTCTATATAAAACAACAACAAAAAAAATCTATTTCTGCCTTTCCAGCCAATCTACTTCAAAAGGCCTGAAGAGCCCTAATGCAGAGGATTTCTGACAAGTAACAAGTTGGCAGCAGCCAGCGGTGGCTGGAGGTGGCTCCGAGGCCTGGACTTGAAAGAATTCCTGGATTGTTCCTGCTCGGCTCCCACCCCGGGCAGGAAGGTGAAGGATGATTACATCTCTGCACCTCTTGCTCTTTTCTCAGTAGCAGGTGCCAAAAGTGACAAATGATCCGTGGGGGCATCTCGGTGTGAAGTTCTGTGTGCACAGGAAACTCGTTTATCTGCAGAGCTGGAGCTGGGCACGGGCAAGGAGCAAAGGCCAATGTTTCATCCCCAAGGCACAGCCTACCTCAAAACCTCAAAACCTCCTGAGGACCAGCTCCTCTTCCAGCTGGCTGCTCCTCCAATTCCTGGGAAGAGCAGAATTCCTCTGCTGGGAACGTGGGTGGGTGCTCTGGTTAAATAAGCCAGTGGGTATTGGGGTTATTTGGTTGTAGCTACTGGGGGATATTTTTCAGAGCCCAGAAAAAGGGAGGAGAGAAGTGATTAAGAGCAGGAATAATTCAGAGTATGGGAGACATGGCACTTTCTCCCCTTGCCACGATGGCTTAGATTTTTAGCTCTTTTATACATATATATATATATGCTTTTAAGATTTTTAGCTTTTTATATTTAAAATTTTTAGGGTTTCAGCTTTTATATTTTTCATGTATTTATAATCCTGCAATTCTTCAGTGTATAACTCAAAACTCCATGTACAGTGTGCTGCTTTCCCACTTTGGGCAGACACAACAATTCCTCTCTAGGCCAGGCAATCAAGGACACCTCACTGCCTCGGGCTCTGAGAGATGGAAACAAAAGGGAGCTGGGGAGAGCAAACTTGGGGTAAATTCCTTCATTACCTGAAGCTGTAATTGGAAGATTAACCCCCAATATGCAAATGGACCAAACTTAGGAAAGTGTGAAAACCTGCGGTCCATTTTTTTGGGTGTAGGAAGGGACCAAACTTAGAAAAGTGTGAAAACCTGTGGTCCATTTTTTTGGGTGTAGGAACGTCCTAAATGTACCTGAAGGCCCTTCAATAAACACCACTGATTTTTATTCCCTTACTTTTGTCTGACCTCTGTTTTTAGGTAGTCCCAAAAAGGCACCAGCCAGGCTCTGTGCCTCTGAAGGGCCTGCAAAAACAGGTTAATCCTTCCGCCAGAAGTGTAATTGCTTTTTCTCTCCAACAACCCAAGAATTCCTCCCTCTCCTGGCTGCTCTCCTGTCGCTCATCAGGCAGCAGAGCACGGCAGGTTTGGGCAGCCAGACACACACAGCCACACACCGAGGGGACCTGGCAAAAAACTCAACCCATTTGTTGTTCCCTTCCCTCCCCTGCACCCTCCCGATGCATTTTTATTGCTTTTTCATAAAACACCGCTGCAAATAATCAAGCATGACCATTGACATCCACAAGATTGAGTTTTAGGAACCATTAAATGAGCTTGTTCTCCTGGGAAGGTTCTTGCTCAGGTTGGTCTAAAGGTAATTATTCAGCAATTCCTACCTGTGGTTTTACCTTGTTCCTGTAGAAGTCTCTGAATCTCATACACTGGTAAGGTCACAGTTTCTGTCTCCATAAAACTATTCCTTAAACCAGCTTATCCACAAAACAAATTATTGTAGGTTTGGGTAAACATACACACATGTGTATAACCTATGGAAATCTCCAAAACGCCAGAAATTTCCAGGTTTCCTACATTTAAATCAGTATCTGAGAACCTAAAGAGAAATTCCTAAAGAAAAGAAATTAAATCAAACCTTGCTTCATTCTGAGCTTTTTGGAGGTTTTTTTTTTTTTTACTGCATTTACAGCAGGAGCAAAATGCAGCATGGATTTATTAAGGTGGAGGAATTCAGGAACCCTCCTCATGTTATTTGGTCAAGCTGAACATCCTGGGAATTTTTAAGGCTATTCCAATAAGTAGAGAGGAATATTTAACCCCATTCAAAAAAAAAAAAAAAAAGATAATAGGAACAACTATACAGAAAACATGGATTAAGTGCAAGTTAGTTTTTTTCCACAGGAAAATCTGAAAACATATTGACACTGAAATGCTTCACAGCTCAGCGTTAACACCCCACCAGCTCTTAAATGTTTCTGGAGTAAGGATTTAAAAAGAGACAAAAAAAAAAAAAAAGGAAAAAAAAAAAAAGAGGTCTTTGATTTGTGGAGTTTGGAAAGTCCTTGAGCTAGATTAAACTGCAGTCTTGTGAGACCAAGTATCTCTGTGGGGGCACTTCACAGAAATGCTCAAGAAACTCATGGAAAGCTTCTCTCTGCTTACTCATGAAGCTATCAGGCTAAGGAATCATGAGGACAACTAATTAATTTTTCTTCTCAATTTCTGCCTGGCTTGTTCAACCAGGCAGGTTTTGCAATGCTGCCTCCTGTTTGTACAAACCAGGATTTGCTCTTGGAAGTCTCCCCTCCCTGAGCTTCTGCTGGAATTGAAATAACACAATCATTTAAAACTGCAAAAATCTAGTCCTTTTCCTCCCTCATCCAATACAATTAAAAACAAATAACCCAAAAGCAACACTTAAATCACAATTACAGTGAGACAAGCCACGGCACCTTTGGAACCAAAATTAATTTCTCTCAGGTGAGGAAGAAGAGAAGGTTGGAAAGCAGAGCTGATGTTTAACTACAGAGCTGGAGCCCAAAGTGCTCCAGGGGCTGGCAGGAATTGTTTTCCTAGAAGGGACACTCCAGCTACATAAAGGTTAAACAAAACAGCCCTGCAGAGCTTAAGGAATATTTAAAGGACCCTACAGGATGTATTCCAGCTTTCTGTCTGTCCAACCTTCACCAGAAGCAGAGCAGACACCTCTAAAGCCACGGGATCCAAAGGATGGGAAGCTGAAATGCTGAAAACCACAAAGCTCCTGGGTTTGGGCTTTTGGGATCTTTGCACCCAATGTGCAACCCTTCAGGGAGTGCTGAGCTGAGCAGAGAGCAGCAAAAATGGCATCTTTAGAAGGTGTCAGGAATTCTGCAGCTGGAATACAGGTTGAATTGGTGACTTTAGAGGTATTTTCCAACCTAAATGATTCTGAACAGTGATTTCCTACTAACATATTCTGACAGCAAGATAACAGTGAAGTAAGTACCTACAGTTGGAAGGGCCTTGAAAATAATGTCAACCTACTTCAAGGGATGCAAAAAAAATACTATGAACAGAGCTCTGATTTTCCTGAAAAACCTAATCCCACATTTTCTGCAGAGGTGCAGAACCCAGTAACCCACCAGTTAGCAAACTGGGAATGCAGACCTGCCTCATTTACCTTTCACACTGAGAATTTCTAAGGCATCAAAAGGAAAATGCAGAATTATGATCAATGTTACAGTTCTTGGAATTTGGAAGTGGAATTTGATTTCCTAAGTGACCCTTGCAGATATCAGAACACTTAAGAGGACAGGTGGGTTTTTTGGGATGTTGCTGGAGATCTGGAGGCTGAGCAAGGACCAGGCAGGATTTCTTCTGTCAGCCCAAGAGAAAATAAAAGGGAAATTGTGAGACTGAGAAGTGAGAATGTTAAAAACCTATGGATTCTACCTATAATATTTAGGTTTCAGAGTCAACACCTACATTTCTCCAGTCACAGAATCATGGAATTATCAAAGGTGGAAAAGACCTTCAAGGTCACAGAGTCCAGCTGCCAACCCAGCACCTCCACACTCACCACTGAACCTTGTCCCCAAGTGCCACATCCACACTTTTTTGAACATTTCCAGGGATGGTGACTCCACCACTGCCTTGGCAGCCTGCTCCAGTGCTTCACAACCTTCTCCACAAAGAAATTTTTCCCAATATCCAAACGAAACCTCCCCTGGCCCAGCCTGAGGCCGTTCCCTCTTGTCTGGAGTTGTGCAGAGCCAGAAGGGCCCCCCTGAGCCTCCTTTTCTCCAGGCTCCCTCAGCTGCTCCTGGGGCTCTGGGGTTTGCATTTCTAATTCCTAGTTCTACTCTTTTTGTGTATCTGGAACAGATTCTGACACCAAAAACTTTTAGGAATCGTTTGAAACCGCACCTATTGCTTTGGAAGCACAGCCATCTTCCATGGCAAGTTTTTTGGCTGTACCACCATGAACAACAGGGGCACATCCAGGACATCTTCCCAGGCAGGCTCCTGCCTCCAGCCCCTCTCCATCCCTCATGTGGAGCGCTCTGGAAGGGCTCACACACCCAGCAAGGCGTGTCCCTCCCAAGGGGAATCATCTGCGCTTCCCACGCCGCATTTCCTGGAGCTGGAGACAAACTCAGCCCAGCGCTGGAACATCCAACATCCCAAATAACAGCAGCCTGCCTTTACTGCTGGCTGTGGCAGGAGGAGCTCCATGAGCAGCCAGACCATCCCATCTTTGGGCCAGGAGCAGGGATCTTGTCATGGTGGGAGACTCTGCTCCAATTAGGATTGGTGCTTAAATGAGCGTGGCTTATTTGGAGCTGGATCAGAGCTCACTCTAAGGCACCACATGGTAAAAAATAAAGGTTCTGGCAGGCATGTTTATCCCATCCCCACAATGCTCCTCACTAATTCTGCCATTAAAAAATAATCCCAGCCCCGATGCCATTAGCAGCCCCATAAGATCATTTCTCAACAAAACCCATCAGGCACGGTTTGCTGTGATTTCAGAGGAACCACTGTGCCTGGCTGGTTTTGGTTCAATTGTCCTGCTTCTCAAATGGCTCATTCATCCTTTCTGTGAGTCCTAGAAAACGAAAAAATACACTTCTCAAACTGCCAAAGTGACCCACTGTGTTTCACGTATGTCACTAAGAGTTTAAAACCAGCTCCAAAAATCTCACTACTGCAGAAAACCTAAAACTTCCCAAGAAATTTTTATTCCACAGTGTCCACTATCCCAGGCTGCCCCAAGCTCCATCCAACCTGGCCTTGGACAGTTCCAGGGATGGGGCAGCCACAGCTTCTCTGGGCAGTCGAATTAATTAATCCTATGAATTAATATTAGCTTGGATTCCTGATGTGTTTTGGTGGAAGTTCTACCAAATCCCACCACCACAAATACAATAAGCAACAAGCAGAGAGAATAAACATCTCAATTTCATCACTTTAAAACATCTCTAGGTTCTCCTGGATCAGGCTCTGAAGTTTTAGCTGGCACCAGGGGAAGGACTGAGGGAATTTTAAGACCTCCTTAGAGCCAAGGGGAAAATCTGACCCAGAATAACCAGTCTTAGAAAACCAGGATTTCTAATTCTGAATATTCCCATTCTGACATCGAGTCTGTTCAGAACAAAGGGATTGAAGCTTAAAGAACTTTCAGCTGAGCTGTCACCTGGAGCTTTAACAGCCCACACTGAGCACCACCTCAGGAGAATGATGATTTCACTTGCTGTGGAACATAAAAAAAAAATCTAAAAAATACCAAAATGCCACTGGTGAAGGTACTCAGATGTTTACAGCCTGCACAAAGCCCCCTGGCTGAAGTTTTTGTGAGAAGGCTGGAGCAGTTCTGATCCTGAGGAGACATGAAAGCTGCCAGAAGGTCACAGAATCCTTTAGGTTGGAAAAGATCTCTAAGATCATCAAGTCCAATAATCCACCCCAACATGAGCTCCTTGGGGCTGTGCTTCAGAACAGTGAGCTCAGATTCAGGCAGCAGCACCCATTTAAAAGGGATTTGTGCAGCAGCAGAGCACATGGTTGTCTTTAACTGACCTCCTTGAGGATGGAGAGGGCCTTTTGCTGGTGGCAATGACACCTCTGGTGCTCTGGAATATCCACAGCTCAACCAAAGGTCTGTGTAAGAGGAATAATGACGGATGGAAGAGGTTAAAGAAACAGAATTCCCTAAAAAGCTCCCAAAGAACCAGATCTCCACCAAGAGCCAGGGCAAGGAGACACTGGGAAAACTTCTCTCGACACAGAGGATCTTTACTCGTTTTAATGTAACTGCACCCCTCAAGGCCCAAATGCCACTTTAGGAAGAAGTTCAGCTCAGCCACCAAGTCATTCCCTACCAGAAGGACAGAAGTGCTCGCTGAGGTGAGCCCAGGCAGCTGGAGACAACAGAAAGGAGGACTTGGCTCATCCCAAGCTCAACAAAAGAGACAGGGACAAGCTGGAAGCAGCTGGATGGCTTCAGACAGGTTTTAGACACATCAGCACCCAGAACTCAACCTGAGGAGCTGGAAATGACCTCCTGCTAGAGGCTGAGGCAAGTCTTTAGAGAGTGGCATCTCCTCTTTTCCTGATGGAACTCCCTAATTAGCAGTACCACCTCATAAACATTAAAAATGAAGCAAACTCCTGTTTTTTAACAGCACACCGTTTGCAGCCTTTAATAAAGGATCCAAGTGGTGATACAGCTATTGAAGAGATTTCAGTCTCTTGGCTTGGATCTGCTTTTTTTTCAGGGAGAAAAAATTTTCCGCGTTCTCAAGGATTCTGGAATAATTTTCAAGCGTCTAGAAGACAGAGGTCTGCCCTCAGCTATCTCCTCATTGTTCAGAGTTGGGTTGGCTCCTGCTACAGCTCAGCTGGGAAGGGATGTGGGAGATACAAGGAGTCTTTCACTCCAGAAACGTGATGTTTTGCCACTGAAATCCAGTCTCCTGCTCACACCTGCATCTCCTGCATCCCAGTATTTTATTGTGGCCTTCTGGTTGAATAAAAATGTTTGGGTGGCATTCAGGTGCTCTCCTGCTTACCCCTCATTTTCTCTCCTTGTTAAAATGCCCTTTTTGCCCATCAAAACCTCCTTAAACATGCCCCCATTGAAGATTTGGTTGTCCCTGTCCCAGCTCATCAGAGGAACAACTCCCACGACGAGGCTGAGGCTCCAGGACCCCGGCAGCTCCGAGCCCTGCCTTGTGAGACACCCAAATCTTGGATAAACTCAATATTTAGAGCAGAAAACCAGCAGAGAGTGGGACCAGGCCAGTTCATGTGTGAGAGCTCCAAGCTGCAACTTGTGCTGGGGAGGATGTTGGGCATTGTGCTTCATTAGGAAACAAAATATAAGCTTTCCACTCCATTAGGAATGACTTTAGGAGTGAAAGCACATAAGACGACGACTCACCTCATCAACAATGCACTGCAATAACTGGAGAGGCTGCAATGGCAAGGAGAGAGGGGGAAAAAAAGTATTAGACTATATGCAATATCTTTACAGTGGAGTGGAAAGAAAAAATCATTAATGCAATAAAATATAGCAAGATTAATCAATGGCAGCAAACTCTTATCAAAACATTGATGCTCAGGATGTTCTATTATTTCTAATGGTACCTAATCTAATACAGGCAGTTAAAGGTTTGCATTTTCTTCAAAATGCAATTTGCTAAGTTTAAAACAAGGCATTCAAGCATGCAGAGGGAGCAGCCATCAGGAAAAAGAAAAGTGAATTTTTTTCTGAACTCATAAAGCTTACCATTAAAGATCCCTGGTTTTTCTGAATCTGAAAAAAGACAATATGTAATTAGCATGTCATAATCAAAATGACTCACTTGGACACATTATGATCACTGAGAGAAAATTATTGCATCGCTGGTGGCAATTTGTGGGCATGTGTTAACACAATTTACATAATGAAAATACACAAATGTTAATAGCTCGCTTCTCATTTATAGGCGAAAGTCAGCAGAATGTTAATTTCACACAACACTTTTTAGTACCCTCCAGGTTGTATTAGAATAGGAAGAAAAACCATAATCCATTTCAAAAGGCTGTTTACGATTCAGATATAAATAATGTTTTATATTGCTAGATTGTGAACACTGGGCTTAATGTTGCAATCATTGCTAATGTTATGAAGCTCACTCTTTTTAAATTAAAAACCGATTTATTTAAAATTGAAATTAAATCATAGTCAGAAATTAGAATTTTGGATTACTGCCAGGCTCTGCTCACAATCCCTTTTTTGTGAAGAAAACTTTAATTATGTGGTTGAAGTATCTACTGCTGCTCAGGAAAGCCTTTAACACTCCACTTTTCCCCAAGTTTTTTATCCAGTTTTCCTTGGACTCTGAGTAGAGCACCACCATCTACGAGATGGGGAAGTTTGGTGAACTTTGCGTTGTTTCAAACTGAAAAGGAAGATTTATCTCCGAGCCTTTCTGAATTTCTGAGCAACCCGGGGGAGAAATCCACCCACAGTTTGCAGTAACAGACCCTCCCACTGCTTCGAGAGCTGCAAAATCTCCTGACCCACATTCCCCTCGATGAAAAAAAAGAAACAAAGGCAGGATCCCGACACAAAGAACGAAACACAAAGCACAGAGCAGGGACTTGGTGTAAAACACTGAATTTTGGGGCGCTGCTCTCCCAGCACTTCGCAATGCACCCCGTTTCTGATGGCTGGGGTAATCCATCACCTGTTTTTCCCCAACACACACAAAGTTGTTGGCAGCCCAACGTAATCGTGATGCAAACAGAACACGAAAATGTTCTTTTCCAACCCCATTCCTTTGCCTTGCCCCTTCCATTCCATACTCTCCCTTGCCAGGATGATGACTTTGGGCTCCCAGCAGCTTTGGGAGCTCTTTCCCCATCCCCAGGCAGGGGCAGGCTCCTCCAGGAACACTTTTCCAGCAGTAAATGCGACAGAGAGGAGGAGGGTGAAGACCAGCACCAAGGAAATAGCTGGTGTTACACACCTCAAGTCTTTTTTACTGAATCAGCAGCACACAAACATAAAGTTCCTGAGTATAATTCTATTTTTTCCAAGGAGGAAAATACAATAGTAAATCGGCAGAAGCAGCCCATTATATTTTTTAATCATCAGTCTTCATCTATTACAATTCAACAGAATAAATCTGCTGGTTTTGCTAATAAGCAAAATATTCCACAGCTATAAAAACCTTTTTTTTTTTTTTTCCCCTACTTCACTTCCAGATGTTAAATGACAAAATAGACTGAGCTTATTCAATAGGGATGATTTGGAGCTTCTTTACATTAGAGCACAGGAACAGTTTTTAGCCAAACAGATCATCAGTCACATTTCCTTCCTGGAAAAATAGCTCTTGTCAGGGAAAGGAATCGAGGTGGGGTCACACGGAGCGGCCCCAACACGGGTATGATTACATCCAATTCCAGAGCAAGATTTAAAATATCATTTCTAATAAAAGCACTCAGCCCTCCTAATGAAAAATCAAGCAACACAAATCCAAGTGTTAGGGAATTCTCCCCGTGACACCGGCGGCTCCGCCGGAGCCCGGCCCAGCCGTGGCCCTGCTCCCACACACGTCGTTACCAGCCTTTATTACACAATTCTGATGGCAACAAATTATTTGGAGATCATCTTCATAAATTTTGCATTGAGGTAGCTGTGCCACTACCTGGAATTGATTCAAAACGCTTAAGACACTCAATTACTTTTTAACACTGTTACCCGGTGTAACGACATCGCCACCGCTTCCCTCGCATCTGATGATGCAACATCATTGTAATTGATTCATTTTCTCAATTAAATAAAGCTCCTGTGCTCTCCTCTCTGCAATGCCACCGAGACTCCCCAGCTAGATGGATTGCCTCTTCTCCCTGCCTTGGATAAATCGCTGGTGAGGCCACGCTCTGCTCCTCCCTTCCCTCCACAAAGCTGCAGCCGTATTTTTCAACTCGGGAGCGGGGCTGAACTTTGCTGTGTTTATATTAGGCAGATTTTTCACTGCTCAGACCACGTTGTTTACCTTTTTCCCAGCTCCCATTACGGGGCAGCTTCAACCACCATAAACCAAAGCCAAGCACAGACAACTTTACGGCCGGGGCTTCTCCTCCTGCCCACAGTTCAGGGAAAGGGAAGCAGCAGCTTTCCTGAGCACTAACAGCTGCTTCAAAAGGGCTCCTCCAAAAATGTTGTCCCGTTTTTGTCTCCTCCCCTAAGCGCCAGGATTTTGTGCATTGCTGGGAGATGAGGGGTTTTGGAGGCAGGTTCACCTTGAGGGATCCCAGGACACCTTGGGAGAGCTGGGAATGTTCCCCTGGAGAAGGGAAGGAGCCAGGGAGAGCTCAGAGCCCCTAAAGAGCTCCAGGAGAGCTGGAGAGGGACTGGGGACAGGGGATGGAGGGACAGGACACAGGGAATGGATCCCACTGCCAGGGGACAGGGGTGGATGGGAGATTGGGAACGAGGAATTCCTGGCTGGGCTGGAATTCCCAGAGCAGCTGTGGCCGCCCCTGGATCCCTGGCAGTGCCCAAGGCCAGGATGGACACTGGGGCTGGGAGCAGCCTGGGATGATGGAAGTGTCCCTGTCATGGCAGGGGTGGAACAAGCTGAACTTCAAGATCCTTTCCCAACTAAAGCATTCCAAGACTCCGCGATCATTCCCCGTCAGAAAAGTCATTTTTAGCCTCTCAGCACCAAGACTCTCTCAGCCATCTCTGAGCCCGGCCCATCACCAACACCTCTTGCCCAGAAGCTTCTCCAACCTTTCCAAAAGCAACTGAAACAGCCTGAACCTGCAGAAATAGCTCTGCTATTTGATATTTTTGAACCTGCCTTGTATTTTCTGTGGATTTACCTACTGCATGTGACAGTTCATGATTTGCAGAAACAGGGAAATAATCAATAAATCTCTCCCATTATCAGAGTATTTCTCAGGCCACGGAACACCAGCAGAACCTGGATAATCCACTCCAGAAAGCACAATCTCCAAAAAGCACTTTTTTTTCCCCCCAAGGTTGGTTAAAAATGCCAAAGTTTGTCTCCTGCTTCATCTCCTATTTAATGAATGCCTCTGGTTATGAAAGGCAACTTCTGACCGACCATCAGGTTATTTTTCTGTCTCCATGGAGATCCTTGGGCTGGGAGGAGGCTGAGAAGACCTCTCCCATCCCCTTCACATTGCAGTCACCAGCACAATCAAGGAAACTCAAATGAATCCACCCCGGGTAACTTGGAGGAGTCACCAGCTACAGCTTTAATTTTCGCTTTTACTCCCTGGAATTAGGACTTGCCCTGGAGCTCTTGTTTGAGAGATTTGCAGGTGACCCAGGGTTAGATCTTCCCATAGCAGTTAACAAATTTTCTCTTTACATATATACTGCTTTTCAAGCTCCTGATAGTGTTTTTTTAATAGAAAAACCCATCTACCAACAAATCATACAGTTATGATTTTTAAGGGAGGCTTCATGCGACAACATTTATTTTCCTGTGGATTTTAAAAGCAGATAGAAGTTATTTTTCATCTGCACAAATGAGGGTTGAGATTTAAGAGCAAAAACTAACATTGTGTCTTACTGACTAAATCCTTATCTCTGCCCTGATATAAAGGTAAAGGAATACCTAAATATTCTGGTTTCCATGAGGGCTTCACCACCATTCCACAATTCCTGTGAAATTAAAGGATGATCTTCAGATATATTTTACAATTTCTTGCAAAATTGCAATTGCTGATACTTCTGCAAGAAGTCAAAGCACCAAATCAATGAGAATGACCCCCCTAATTTGTTCCTGATGTTCTAAACACCCTTCCCCATCCCCATCTGGGGATTTTGCAAATGGCAAACTTCAATCACTGTCACAAAACATTTAAAAAAAAAGAAGAAAATTATTTCAGAATAAAAAAGACAATTCACAACAACCTTAATATTAAATATATTCTTACAATTATATTACGCTGCTTTTCCCCGAGGTCTCCAAACAAATTTATATAAAGAGATTATTTCATCCACCATTGAACTGCAGCCACTTCTCAGAGAAATCTCTTTACCAGAGTTTAGAAACACAATTCAACAAAGTGGGCACGGAAAGCTCCACACTGTTGGAGGGATTGTGGTGACAACAACTCCTCCCAGCAATAATTTCTACACCAGAGTAGGACCAGAACACCCTGACAACACATCCCTTGGTCAACAGGAGTAGGGACAAAGAAATAACCCCAAATTTAGCAAATTGCTGTTGAAAATCTTGGAATGATTTAGGTTGGAAAAGGTCTCCAAGATGTCAGAGTCCAACCATCACTCCAAACCTGTCTGCAGGCCTTGTTCCCAGCACCACAAAAAGTGGGAGAGGAGAACAAAGAAGGGTCCAACAGACACCAAACAAAGAACTGGGTTTTGTCCACCCAGCTCTTGCTTGGTGTCACCCAAATGACAACAGAGAGGAACAGCAGGAGAACTTATTGGACACCGTGGGAGAGGGAAAATGAGCACAACTGAGCAGGAAGAAAATAATGGAATCCTCAGAGGGATCCAACAAAGTCCAAACCCCCCAAAAAACCACAAACACCATGGTGGGATGTCCAGGAAGGACAGGCTGAACCACCCTGGGTGATCCCTCCTCCTTCCCTGTGCCTCAGCCTGGGCATCCCCAGGGAGCTGTGGGAACGTTCAGAGGAGAACCCCGCCAGTCAGAAATCCAGGGAGACCAAAAGAACCTGGAAACAGAGCAAGGACACCATAACCACCACCCCTCCCGCATCCATGCTCCGTGCTCATTCCACTCACAACTGCCCTCA